GCCCTGCGCCTCGCCCCGTTGGGGCAGCTTGGCTCTATCCCTGCCTGGGGAGAACTCCTCCTGCCCATGTGGTTGCTGTTGTTATTATTACCACAATAATAATAATAATAGTTTATTTTTCCGAACCGGGTCTGAGGCCCGACTGGGACTTTCCCTGGAAACTTTATGTGGAAATAGTTTGCAATCTTAATTCGGGGGAAGGGGGGGATGCGATGTTCCCTCCTCCATCAGGCTCGGTCCCACTTCGCTCGACACCCCAGCTGCACACACGCACGCACACACACACACACACATTTGTGTCCAAGGTTATTCACTAGTTGCCTGATGTATTGTTTTATTACATGCCGGCATGTCCACGGACGCGCTCGGATTTGTATTGCTGTCTACATGACAGATGGTGCTCTGTGAGGCCGCAAGAAGATACGATTCAATTTTCTTTTGAAAGGCACGTCCGCATTTATTTATTTATTTATTTAGCCTCCCCCTCTTTTCGCGCAGGGAGGGGAGAGGAGGGAAAATTTAAAGGGATGGAAAAGTTCGGCCTCTGCTTTGAGGTTTTGTTTCTTTTTGAATCCGACGCTTAGGAAACGGAAACTCTCCAAACATTCCCATCTGATCGCTAGAAAATCGCTATCTGCACGATTAGCATCAGGAAAGGAAAGAAAGAAAAAGAAAAAAAGAAAGAGCACAGAGAAAAGAGCAGAGAGGGAGAGCCTAGCAGATACATCGGATCCCGCAGGGATTGGGGAAATAAATCTCCCCACTGGCCTTGTTATATTTGTGGAGCCTTGAGCTGTGTATTTAAAAGTACCATGTCTGTAGCCTGGTTCCCATAGAGTGTTTCCGAAAGAGAAACAGTTAAGCAGAAACTGGCAGGCTAGAAAGGACAATATTAAAACTGGGGGCCTGGACGGAGAGGGGGGCGGGGAATCACCATATTATTGGTACACTGGATATTAGCTTGCTTGGAAAAAAAAAATCCTCTATTGCTCTCTGGGCCTGTTTCAAGACCCAAGGAAGCGCAGGGAATAACGGCAGGAAGTATATTCCGCTGAAGCTGCCGTCAAAAGCTAGAGAAGGGATGGATAAATGAGGGTATGGTTTATCCCCGGTATTGCTCTCATTAGTACTCTCTGAAGGAGCCGCAACTCGTCCAGCCGCCTCTCCCCCCGCCCCGGTCGGGCGGTACCGGCGCCGGGGGCAGGGCGCGGGGACCGACATGTCCCCCGTGTCCCTGCCCGTGTTCCTGCTCCCCGCCTTGCCCCTGTATCCCGGCGCCGGGGCCCTGACCAGCTCTCTTTGCTTCTCTGTCTCGGGAAGGCTCCTCCGCCCCCTCCAAGATGATGCTTAGCCCGGACCAAGCTGCCGACTCCGACCACCCCTCCTCGGCGCCCTCCGACCCGGAGTCCCTGGGCGGCGCGGACGCCCAGGCCCTCAGCTGCTGCGTCTCCGACCCGGAGCCCGCCGAGGGCGGCGGCGGCGAGGGCCGGGGCGGCGGCGGCGGCGGGGAGGGCCGCGGCGGGGGCCGGCCCGGGCTGCACCCGCCGCCGCTGAGCCGCGAGGAGAAGCGCCGGCGGCGCCGCGCCACGGCCAAGTACCGCTCGGCGCACGCCACGCGTGAGCGGATCCGCGTGGAGGCCTTCAACCTGGCCTTCGCCGAGCTGCGCAAGCTGCTGCCCACCCTGCCCCCCGACAAGAAGCTCTCCAAGATCGAGATCCTGCGCCTCGCCATCTGCTACATCTCCTATCTCAACCACGTGCTGGACGTGTAGCGCCCGGCGGACGCGCGGAGCCCCGGGACCCCCAGTCCCGCCGCCCGGGTCCGGCCGAGGCGGGCAGCGCCTTCCCGGGGCGGGCGGCGGGCGGGGGGGCCCCGCTGCTGTGCTCCCCCCGCCCCGGAGGGCTCCCGCCCGGTCGAGAGCCCGCTTTTCGAAGAGAAGTGTAAAACCGGATTGTCTCTTCAGGCTGTCAAGTGCCCCTTTATATATATCCAAAAACATCTACTTGTGACCTTAAACGTGTGACCCATGGGTGCAGTTAAAAATAACTATTTTTTATTTATGGTAGAAGGAGTTGACAATTTATTTTTTTCAAGATTTATTTATTTTTCAGAGTGGTGGCAATTTTACTTTGGATACTTCGTGCCAATTGGTTTCTATAGTCGGGTGTTTACACTTTCTCCTGTGGAATATTATGTTTGACTTTATGAGTGTTTGTTGGGATCAATACAGTGTTCATTTTATTTTATTTTTAATTTATTTTCCCCCTCCAATTATATTGCACTTGTGTACCACAAACCTCCCCTCCCTCCCTGTTTATAAGTATATTTTATATATATCAAGGCATTTGTTCTTGACCTTTTTTCTTTCTTTCCTTGTGTGGGATCAACAACCACTAGCACTTAACTAGGAGAGGGTTTTTTTTAAAACTTGTTGTTATTCTGATCTATAGTTGCGTCTGAAAAGTACTTTGCAAATCGTTTATAAGGGAAGTAGTTTCTTTGTGGGTGTATATGTGCGTGTGTGTACACATGCATGTGTGTGGGAGTGAGCGTGGGTGTGTATGTGTGTGGTATATTTTTAGGAAAGGACATTTTTTCCTAAAAAAAAAGAAAAAAAAAAGAAAGAAAAGTAAATCCAGGACTGCTTTCCTTTGTGACAACCAAAAAAATTCTATAACCTGAAAATGTTTCATGTTCTTTGCTGTGAATCTCTTAAAACAAGAAGCGCATTTTAGGGACAAAAAAGAAAAAGAAAAAAAACCACATCTGCTATCCAAAGATTTTAGTCTTTTTCAGGGTTTTTTTGTGTGTCTATGTTGCTTTATATAATGCAATATTTTGTAGTGAAAATAGATAAATCTGGTTTCTATCTGATGCGTTTTTCATATCTCTCATGAATGGTGAGCTGTTTTGCATATAAATAAAAGTATCAAATAAAAGCTGTTTTTTCCTAATTATTTTTCCCTGTTGGTCCTTCTGTAAGACAGACATGAGATGTCCTTATGAATAAGGATTGCAGAGGCTTCTCAAGTCGTGCCTGGGAAGCTTCAACAGGTTACCTGCCTCTTCCTAGGGAGACTCGGACTGCAGTCCCTCCAGCACAGCTCCCCTGCTCCAGCCACTTTCAGCTGCCCAAATGCAAAGGAGACACAGAACCCTTGCTGTCACTTTCTCCCGGTCTCATCATGACTGGCATCTGGTCACATGTTCCAAAGTTCAAGCTGTACAATCCAATCTGATGCTTGCAAGCACCTGTTTTGCTGCCTCACTCTTTGAAATGCCTGGCTTTGCCACCCAAATGGATGTGTTGTGTCCTGCCTGAGCACACTGGGTTTTCTTTCTCTTGTTTAACTTCAGCTTTGATCCCTCTCAGTCCAGGTCTTATTCTACAGAAACCAAGGAAAAATCTTTTGCCCTTTCCCTGCTTTAGAAAACCTCAACCATAATCTTTCATACAAGGCTTCAATTGCCAAATCTTGTCATTCGAAACATGGAACAGATACAGATTCAACGGCAGACAGGTTATTACCCGAGTAATGTGAGACAGTCTTATTCATTAAAGCCTTTCCTTGTTTCCCACAAGGGGTTAATTATACCTATAATTTGAATGCTGCCATTGACTCTGGTGGCTGCATCACCCGTTCTTACTTGCTGGAGAGATAAAATCCTCCCCTCTACCCCATTTTTATGGCTGACACTTTGCACAGCGATTTAATTAAGTGTGGTCTTGACCAGCTGAAAAGCTCCATGCAGAAAACCTGTCAGAGAGACTGTTAATTCCATTCCCTACAAATACATGCTTGCCATGTCCCAAGGGAGCACACCCTGGTTTGGTAGTTCAATGCACAGGTTTCAAATCCTACATTTCAGGGCTGAAATAACACCACCAACTTTGGAGCTGGCTTCCTTTGGGACAGGTTTGTTTCTTAGGTTCAATATCAGGGTGCTGTGTTGAGTTTGATGTAATTGCCTGAGTGATATTATAAATCCTGCCATCCAAAAAGTCTTCATGCTACCAGCATTTGGGAGGACTTAGTTACTGAAAAGATAAACATATTATCTCCTTCTTGACCATTGGGAATGCATGTTTCAGGGGGAGAGAGGGCTCTGCAACACCTGCCTGTAAAGTATGATGGCTGCAGCCACTGGCAGTTGTAGGTGTCAACCCCACATTCCCCCTGGCCTCACATCCCCTTCTGGGGGTCTCGCACACATGTCAGAGGCACAGGCTGAGATAATGCCTGAGTCCCAGGTTCCCAGCCACGTGACCCTGTGCCCAAGTGATAAGCCAGAAAGGCTGCTGTGCTGTGGGCAAAGAAGAGCACAGCGTGGGGATGTGTGGGAACAGGCGCAAGAAGTCAGAAAATCTTGTGAGTTATTCCACTCTTACCATCCCTGAGACAACAGAGAGCCTGACTGCACTCAGACATACAGCAGCAAGGGCTTTGCTTTTGGTGGTATCCAAAGGGTCAGATCTCAAATTTAACCTGCAAAAGTGTCAGGGCACTTGACCTGAAGAGATGTGCTTTTCTTTCCAAGTGTTATCTGATGTAAGAAATTGCTTTTTCCTACAAGTCCTGTCTCACTTCCATACACTCAACACCTTGTTTAAATCCTGTCCCCACCATAACATCACCCCAGCTACTTCTATTTTTCATGCTGGCACCAAGAAGGAAGCTCATTCCCATTTAGCCGTTGATGAGTGTTGAAAACAGAATGTAGGGTTTGCTCCCACATTCCACACCTTTTTTTTTATTCTTAAGGAGCTGAGTAGTATGCATAAGCTACAAGCCCCATGCAAAAAAACAAGGCTGCATGGCTAAGTGCTCTGAAGTCTGGATTTATGAAGAATGGGTAAACAAATTTAACTCCATCTCATTGCAAGTCTGGGTTAGATAGCAATAAAGTCTAATTATATAATCAAAGTTTGCCTATGTCTATGTTCCCTCAGCAATAAAAGAATGAATGACCTTGAATGACAATACTATAGGAGGAATGGGGTTGGAACTGCTGAATGGAAGTTTATATCAAACTCAGTCATTACAATAATTGGAAGGGAAGAGACACAGTTAATATTCCCTGGCATTTTAGCTCCATTCAGATACCTTTCTTGCACAACTGAAGAGGAGCTCATCCTACAAACCATGAAAGAAAGTGCACTTAAAAGACAGAGAAGGCAGAGCACTACCTCCGGACCTTTAGCTGACTCTAAAAAAGGGACTTTAGGCCTGAATGAATACAATATATAAACCATTTAAAACATTATATAAAACATATAAAACATTGAATGGAAACCTCCAGCATTCACAGAGAGCAAGTAGCTCTAACAGATAAACCTAAAATATCCCCGTACAAGAGATATCCAATGCATGCTAACATTAGGCTATAACACCTATTAAGACACATTTTCAGGCCTATATGGACTCACAGGGACACGGTGCAATACACACTCACATGGTATCAATTAGGAAGCACCGACAGCTAATGCATTCATCTGAACCCTGGGAACAGATCCTGACCCTGATTCAGCAAACGAGGACAGACAGCAAGCCAAAAGTAACTCCTCCAAATAAACATAATGGTTTTGACAGGACTGTACAGCTAAGGGGGAGCTGTATCTCAGTATCATACAGTTTCCTAAGAGATTAAAAGGTCTCCAGCAGAAAATATTCCAAATTATAGACTTGAATTTATGCTGCTATTACATATGCACATAGAAAAGGAAGAATTTCTAGGCATAGACCATCACTGTCCAGCAAAGTGCATGGTACTGTGCATTCAGGATCACATTACTCCCCAGCCACAAAGTCATGTCTTTGTGATAAAAAGTGTTTGAGCCAGGTAGGATATGACCATTGATACTTACAGCAGATAAATTCTGAGGGTCTTGGATGTGATTTGATATCTTAGCTACATTTCTAGCAAAGGGAATTTGTGTGTGATTGGGAAGAGATGGGGGGTGGTGAGCCAAAGAGGATGTTGTATATGAAACCCAACAAAGAAATTGATTTTTTCCATTATATAGCTGTGAAGAAATAGCAGAGACATTCTATCTATCTCTTCACATATCTATCCATCTAGCCATCCTGTAACCCAATTAACCCAGTTCTTTTAGGGTGAATAAATGTGTTCTAATATCAGCCATTATTTTTCAGTACTCTCAGTTTATTCTCCAGGGTGGGACAGATCAATAACCACAATAGCAACCGACCCAAAAGGAAAAGGCAATCTCCTGGCGCTTCTTATTTATTTCTTCAGAGCCGATTTCGTTTTTCCTGCCTCTTCCCCTGGTGACGGATTTTGCCTTTCCTGCCCAGAATGGCCGTGTTGTTTTATCCGGAGCTCTATTTGCATGTGAGCTTCAGATTCATCTTTGGCTCCTTGCACGGTTTGGGATGAGACCCTCCTGTCCCCAGAGAGGGGGGCAGGTGTTGCTCCAGTCGAGCGAATGGAACCAAATTACAGGACCGTCTGTCGCCTCCTCTGGGAGCCGGCAGAGGGAGGGGAGGAAGGGGAGGGGAGCGGGATGCCGTACGACAGAAAAGAAAAGCAGAACATCATACTGATGCCGATAAGAGCTAGGAAACACGAGTCACCCCAGCCCACAGCCCCACCCAAAACCATGCAGCAGCCACCTGAAAGAGAAATGTCAGGAGCAGAGACAGAAATAAATTGAGTCACTGGGCTGGAATAACTCAGGCTCAAAATGAAAGAGAATTCAGACCCCGTCCACTTTCAGACACAAGTGCAGGCACAAAGTTGCTGTTTTTCTCAGCTTACGGCTGTGCTCTTTGATGTCGCCTCCTCTGTTCTTTCGGAGCAGGCTCCTTTGCCCACCACTGCTCTCCACCAAGTCCTCACAGCCCAGGTCTCACAGCAGCTCCTGCGCCCCTCCCTCCAGCTGCTCCTTCTGGCCCTCCCACAGCCCCCCTGCCCTTCAAGGTCCCCGAGAGAGGCATTCTGTGCAGAGGTGGCTCTGCTCCTCTGCCACCTCAGCCCATGCTGCACAGTGCAGCCACTCCTTGCTCGCACTGGGAGCTGCTTGGTGCTCCAGCTCAGGGCAGGCGACTCACTTCTCATCCATGCAGATTTCTGCTCAACTGATCTGAGAGAGGTGGTGTTACAGACTTACACTTCTCAAACCCACTCATTTGCTTAAGGCATTCCTAGCAAATTAATAAAGGACCCCCATCTACCCCACTCCACCCCCCACCTTGTTTTTGCTGGCTTTTTTGTCCTAAACTTTCCTAGACATCAGTGCACACACACACACTGATGTATGCAGCGATTGCTCTCAGAGTGGTTGGGCACAGAGTCACTTGAAAAGCAACAGGTGACAGCTGTTCTGCTGTTCCTCACTAAAACAAGAAGAAAATCAGAAGAAATTTGTGGAGAATTCAGAGGAGAAATTTGTGGAGAATTCAGAGGAGCTTCGAAAGAAGGCATGAAAAAGGTGCCATTAGGAGTGCTTAAATCAAAGCAAAAGCAGCATGGAGTGAATGACTGACAGAAGAAGCCAGGTCACATAGGTGGAGGGGTCTCATCAATCAGCAACTGGGCATAACATAAAGGATTTTCCATGAGGGTGGTGGGATGTACACTGAACCTGAGGTCTACACTAGGGCATAACGAGGAACAAAAGGCATGTGAAAAGGTAGGCAGCAAACGTACGAAGGGATGGCAGCAGGAAGTGTAAGAAAGGAGAAGGATGTGAATGGCTGGGCAGAGCTACTGCTATGGGGGGATGGGGGAAGATGCTCCGGCAAAGTCAGAAGGAACAGCTTGCCCAGGGGTTAAAAGAAAGCTCAGTCCAGGAACAGACAGGAACCAGGCAGGAAGGGAACTGGAAGGAGTTGTTAACTAGACATTCAAAACTACTCAGGAGAGATCACCACAACTATAGTCATGGCCAGAGGGATGGACTGGCACAGTAACAT